ATCATAGAAAATCTCAAAGTTTATGAAAGTAAGTTAAAATCAAAACCTACAGTCCATCTTTCGAAATTACATAAATTTAATAGTGACAAAAAAAAGCCATTTTTCTACATATGCACAAGAAATAACTAATTTACTATAAGAATTTCAAAAGAGATTTTCATATTTAAAAATTTATAAAAATATATAACAAAGTTCAAATTTTATAAAAATAATGTTGAGTTGTTTTACTTATCAAAATTTAAATGTTTTTTCCGTGAAATTACATCGAGACTGCGAACGCCTACGGACGCCACCAGAGGGTCACGCGCAGTGGTGACGTCAGCGACATCGAAGAATCCTACTATTTTCGTCTGGCACCTGACGANGATTTTTCTGTTTGACAGAATTTCACATGGTGATTCATTGTTGCCAACATTACACAACCATTAATAGGAGCTGACTTTTTATCCTATTATGGACTTCCAGACCTTTGCAACAAATGTCTCATTGACTCAACCACAACTGTTAAGCTGCAAAGGACGCCACCAGAGGGTCACGCGCAGTGGTGACGTCAGCGACATCGAAGAATCCTACTATTTTCGTCTGGCGCCTGACGAGTTCAGTTGTGTACGTTCGAAATTCAACCGCTTCGACCGGACAGAGACTATCGTTCCGACAACAGCCTACATCGGTGACCCGAATATTTGGAACTTATCAAACCTTCAAAATTCAGAAATTTCGCTCGGATATTAGCAACATTTGACCAGGTACGTGACGAAGATGAGCCAACCCGTTGTCAGCCACGTGCCCGTTAAGTCTCGCCATTTTGAACCGAAAACTCAACTCCATGGTTGTCCCAGCTAGAGAGTGAATTTATCCTCGCTAATGTATCTCACGACAACGATACACTTTGAGGTATAAAATTTAATTTGTATAGGAATTTAATGTAAAGCATTGATACAATATTGAATTATAAAAAAATTAACACCGATACAAGATGAACTAACTCGTGTGAATTCCGTGCATCTTTGTTCATCGTAACGGCTAAACGTGTTCCATTTTTTGTTTTTTTTAACTCGAGTATGTATATATTTTTAAATTTACTTCTTCATCATCGACGTTAGAAATATGGTGAGTTATCGGCAATATATTTTTGATCTGTAGATAATATACGATTGGCTGTTAGTTTCCATTATAAGTGGTGTTGTGTAGTGTTCTTTGTTTCATTTTGACACGAGGCTAAATTAATCCACATCCTTACAGATTTAAGTGTTTTTTTTATTTTAATTACAAACTAATGTTACAGATTTTCTTCATCCAATTTATTTATTTTTTTATTTATCTTCATTGAATTTATTTAATTTTTCCATAATATCATCGACGATGTTACTAATATCTCGGAAGTATATAGTCTAGTAAACTATGTGAATTATCGGCAATATATTTTTGATATTTTAGAACGTAACACCAGAAAAGTTGATTTTTGAAATCGTGAATAAAATCCTCGTTCAGTATTTGATGGTAACATTCTATGAGCGGGGGAGGGGGACCCTCCTTTGTGATCAATAAATGTCTAATGAACCACACCCCTACGCGCGACCCTTCACGAGATATAAGCCCTCGAAAATTAGCTACGTTATTTCCGGTCACGTGACACCACGGTTAAAACGGGAGCCTACCATTCAAAACAAATGCGCGCGCACACCTCTCTTAAGTCGCGCACTTCCCCGCTCCAAGGACAGCACTGCGCATGACAGCCAAATCACGTGGTCTTTCCTCAGCCATAGAGATGTAGCGCGCTCCGCGGCCAATGGAGTGCCGGCCGCGGGTCACATGACACTCGGAACCTTCTCTCGAGTCCCCCAAAATCGGCCTTCGCGTAGCTCAGAGACTTGCTTTCAACTATGTATCACACGCGACTATACGTACGTGATTTCCGGTCACGTGACTCCGATTTCGTAGCGTGTGGTTCATTAAGTACTTTTTTATCACAAAGGGGGGTCTACCGGTTGGGGGTGAAAACCCTCTCCCCCGAATCGACAGTTTTACCGGGTTTATAATTTGGGGGTTCTCGCCCCCCTCCTTACCAATTACTAATAATTATTAATAATTATATTATATAATCAAATAGGTAAAATAAAATAAATTAAAATACAGTGGTACCTCAGGTTACGAACGCCCCAGCATACGAAATTTTCAGGATACGACATGAAATTCGAACATATTTTTGCTCCACGATACGAACAAAAACTCACCATACGACGTTACATTAGTTCGCATTTTTCATTTGTTTTTCTTACTACAGTTATTTTTTTAAATGTATTACTTGGCTTTAATTTGAGTATGTTTTTCGCGTTGGAACGAATTATTTGGTTTTACATGTAATCGTATGGGAAAAGATGATCCACCTTACGACATTTTCATGATACGATCTCAGTTTCGGAACGGATTAATTTCGTATCCTGAGGTACCACTGTATTGATACAATTTTTAGTTTCAGTTATAAAGATTACTTAGCAATAATTCGAATTTTTATGAATTTGTTACGCCCGCCGAAACAGAAGTATTGCGTCTCATCACGTCGCTGTTAAAATTCTCGCGAGCGATAGGAACCGCTTCTAAAGTCTCTAACCATTTCCGGCTTAAAGCTTAGTTCACACTGAGCGAATATCGAAAACCAATGCGAAAAGCGATTTTTATTCGCTTAGCGAAATTGACCCATACAACCAAAAACGGAAAGCGATTGCGAATTTTAAGCAGCCGATTATTTGCAAGCGAGCGAAAACGTTGTCTTGAAAAACAAAATGGCCACTTCTGAAATTTCGTCCTTAACCAGCTCGACATTTTTTTTTCATTAGGAAAAATCATTTTCCCTTTTGGGGATCAGTTCCGAACTTCGAAGCGATTTTCGAAATTCACTGGAAACGACGTTATGTCTGAAATGTTATTCGCTATGTTTTTCGCCTTCGCCAGCGAATCGAGCTTAGTGTGAACTATTTATAATTTATTTTGTATACTAGTACTTTCTATATATTAACAGGACTTATTATACTGGAAAATTATGGATGCAGATATCTAGTCTTACGGTTCAAAATAATGTTCTTTATTTATATATATTAATAATAATGTCCTCAAACAGGTGAACTAAATAAAGAACATTATTTTGAACTATAAGACTAGATATCTGCATTCATAATTTTCCAGTATAATAAGTCCTGTTAATATATAGAAAGTACTAGTATACAAAATAAATTATAAATAGCTAAAAAAAAGGACAAAAAGGCATAATAATTAGTGTGAACTAAACTAAACTGCCGATGTAAAAAGCAAAGAAAACAGATACTCACCTTCACGGCGCCTCCTCTGCGATTTCCACAAGAGGAGGCGCTGTCCTTGGCCCTGTCCTCTCGCTATTTGGCGACGTCGGTAAGTCTATGCTGTTGCTGACGTGAGGCCGCTGGTCCCCGCCTCGGCTTGGTCCTCTGGGTCGACGACAAAGGTGATGTTGGTTGCGTCAGATGTCTGAAAAATCACATAATCCACGTTTCACATCTGCAAAGAACTATCCTTTGGTCACGCGCACTATACAAAAGTTGCACTACTCACTGGGGGGTCGTCATCTCCATGCGGTTCCTCTTTGTCGGGCACATCAAAATAGGGCTCATCTGGTGGCTGATCTTCGTCCACGGGCACACCAATCATCTTCAGCTGGAGACCCTCACGACCGGGGCCCGGGTAGACTGCCACAATATGCTCGACGAACTGCCGGAATTTTGCTGATGGTGTTGGCAACTGGGACAGGAACCGCGTCCTGTATACGTATGTACATGCGTAGCTCTGCGGGCTCCTGTCCGTGCGGAGCGACTTAATGGACAGGAGGACTTAATGGACATCGCTGGCTGAAAGGACTTCAGCCAGCGATGTCGACACTTGATGTTTTGAGTTTGAGCCTCAAGATCATCGATGTCGATGAATCTGCACGGAGAAAAAAAGAAAAATGTCCTTTTTCGATAACGCTCGTTCATTTCTTTCACTTAACACATAGAAGTTTCATCCTATTTACCTCTCGGGGCCCTGCTAGCTGTGATTAACGGTCTTATGATCCGAGAAGCCCATCGTCGTACAACCGCGATACTGAGGCGCGCTGTTGGAAACGATGATGCTACCAGGAGCGATTTATCTGAACATGTCTCTCCACAGAACACGCCTACTTTTGTTGTCCACCTGAAAGAATACGAAAAATATAACTGAAAACATCTAAAATGCGCCAATGTATGCGGGACAGTGCATCTTCCGGCATACCGAACTTTCACGAAAATTAGAAAATAATGTTTAGCTACTACTTACATGCCAGTACATCAACTCTCGCATTTCCCGACAATAGGCACCAAATATGGTTAATTGGTGGCCCTTAGTTACATGTCCGCGATTGTATTTCCGTCTCCTCGTGAAGGTTTCGTCGATCTGAAAAGAAAACATGTATATAGACATAAACATAACAGCAAAGTCAGAAAGATGGTTCGATTGTCACCTCCACGTGTAGGCCTTCACCGCCAATCTTGATGTCTTGCTGTTGAGAGACGAAAACCTCCGCAACTTCCCGGCAGAAATTAAACCAATCTACCGCTGTTTGAATGGCCACGCCGCATTCTTTTGTGGTGAGGGTGACTGGCTGCTCTATGATCCATGCATATATTAGCATTAGGACCTATTAAATAAAAAATTATCTCACTTACTACATACAATTACTACTAAAATTTTGCACATTTGTGTTTAACTACTATAAAACAGTACGGCATTTGCTTTGAGGGTTAATCTAATGGAAACAAAACGAACCTAACCGAAGCGCCGCAATTTTCGCACCATAGGTAACATTAACCCTTTGAGGAAATATTACAAGTTTAATATAGAGTTTTTATACTTTTAAGTTTTAATAAAATTTAGTTAATATAAAATTATTAACTATCTTTTATTAAATGTGTAAAAACTCTATATTAAACTTGTAATATTTAATCAAAGCTCCCGACAGTTCCCTTGTGAGTTGTCCAATCTGTTAACCTTGTTTACCCCTCGGGCTACAGATTTTCTTTTGTCTTAGATATGAGTCACCAGGCACACCCTAATGTTTAGGGCAAACAGGAACATTCCAGAAAGAAGAGACAAAGAACAAAGAAAAATATGGCTACCGAAAATATAATACCAATGCCACGATATCATACCTTTTTAGCTGAGAGCCTTTTTAGCTCCTTCAAAAAACGTATTTTGGGTACTAGAGAGCCCACCGGTACACTTGGCCCGCCAGACGAAGCCACCAGTTTATCGCCTCTTTTTTTCTTTTTCTTTTAATTTTTGACAGCGGTAAATATATCCGAACTTCTCCGATGAATCCAATTTTTTTTCCATCGCGCCTGAAAAATACGATCAATTGAATTAGCTAACAGATATTCACGTAAGACACTCCTGGCACATGAGAAATGAAGGAAAAGGAAAACTTACCTCCACATTGAGGACAAGGCGGAATAAAACCGGATAAGTCCGGATGTGGAACCATTCCCACCAGATGGCAGAATTTTTGGGCTGCATCTTCAGTGGGAATATGTTGCGAAAACGTAAAACAGGTCAAGTCTTCAAAAATTTCCGATGGATTGACATCGGAGCTCTCAGAAGCAGGTTCCATATTGAACGGCATTTTCAAATAAAGTGACGAACAGAACAAACAATGTTGCCAGATCAGAAAGTCAAAAAGTACCAAAGTTGTGCTTCAAAAGTAGCCAGTTTGGGCTATCTGTAGCCCAAACATAAAAATGAATTACTGTATTTTGCAACTTTAGCAATGAAATTCTTAGAGCTAGCATTAGGAAAAAATCTGATATTTTAAATTTTTTCAGAGATATTTCCAATTGGTGTCTACTTGACCAATCAGATTGTGCAATTTCGTACCTTCCGAGTATCGCGATTAACGTGACAATGGTAGGTTAAAATAATCAAGCTATTTACATTGATATATTTTTCGTTTTAGTGTTTCTTATACATATGAGCATTGCGTGTATCTGTATCAATTTTCTATCTTGTCAAAGCGAGTCATTTGTGGGTCCTTAATTGCCTAAGCCTATTATTGGTTTGGCCAGGCCCACAATGGAGAGATCGGGTTGGTGAGGGATGGAGCCTGACATATCCAAATGGACCATCTCCCGAAAAATTCATAAAGATTTTTCAACTCGATTCTGGATCCCCCAGAGTGGAGGCTGCCACCTTGGGTTCATTCGTTAATTAATAGCGGTTGCTTGCATCTTCACTACTGCATGAGTGCACTGCTGTTCGGCAATTAGGAATGAAGGTGAAAGAAAGAAAGATGTCGGCGCCTGTACTATCATAACAGAAGGATCTATGATTTTAAAATATGCATTTTTAAAGACCAAAGAAGAGTTTTGATTGTAAAATATAACCATGAAATGGATTATTTTGCTGACAGAGCATTCAAAGTAGCAGGAAAAAAAAATTAAAATGCCGGGTACCATTCGAGAAGATACATCACCACTTGTACATATATAACTTCTAAAATTTCATTCATAAAACCACATAATGGACCCCAAAATGAAACTGTTTGAGCTATGGAGAACGCCATGTTGCTTTCCACCGTAAACTACTGCTACAAGCGGCCGTTTTTGCCGTCCGACAGCGCGCATTCTGACTGGAATTTAGGAACACGTTCGGCAGGAATTTTTAATTTAAACGGGTGCCGCTCACACGGAGAAATATAAAAAAAAAATACACTCCTTGACCACTCGGCCATTCGACCGTCCGATAGTATATGTTAGGTAGGGTAAGCATAAAATTTAATGCAAATTGTACACAGAAAATAATATTTTTGTCTATTTTCCACTAAGTTTCATTCGTTCTTGCATTGCACACATATTTGTTTATCTAAAATCAATCCTTCGTGTTGCAAAAAAGCTACCAAAACTATTTCGTGATAACAAATATCAATAGCAGTATACATCGCTCTTTGAATACAAACGAAAACGAAAAAATTATGAGTCTCTTAATCTGCGTACAAATGACTTGCTTTGGTGCGAGAGAGAAAATTGGTAGGTAGTTCGCATTTACCTATGTATATGTATTTACGTTCATATTCCGCCAGTAATTTTCGATCAATATAAAGTATCAATTTAATAAATGCACGATTAGTTCTCCCAAACAAAATCACATGTGGCGATGAGCGCTCAGCAATAAAATTAATCTATACTTTTTATTTAACACACTAATAATTTCATATATCATAAAATGAATTAATACGCATCTTCCTTTTCGGCTGGTTCTTTGTGATAGATTGACAAATAAATACGAAAAAAACGGAATATTGAGCAAACCTTCATAATTTCTACATGTAAAGTTTAAATTAAAATGCGTTTTTCTACTTTGTAAATGAAATTGATTTTATCTATTTTATGATGATATAACAACAATAGTTTTTTAAAGATTAGTTTTAGTAACTTCTATGTAGGTGATTTATATATAAGTAAATTAATTCCTATTGTCAAACCATTTTTTTCCATGTATTAATTTAAAATTAAGATTTTGTAATGTTTTAGGATTACGTGTTAAGTTACATTATGTTTAACACATTCTTTTGGTTTATTCTGTTTATTTACCACATGTAAAGTTTTCTTAACAGTTTTATTTGATTTCTTTTTAATAAACAATTCTTTCTTTAATTAATTTACTCTCAGTAGTGAAGTTTTTATTACTAGCACAGATGACAATACTGTTATTACAAGTTGCAACAGGACGTGCGGCTCCTGGCATTTGAAAGTAATAATTTTTTTGGTTATAAATGTAATCAAGATATAATATTCTGAAGTGGAAATATACAGTATTAACATTTCTTACATAAAAATTACTATTTAATTAAAATTAACTATTACTTTTTACTATTTATTAAATTATTACATAAAAAGTATCTATACTATATATAAACAATTTATATTAGAGGTTGAGGCACACGTATTTAGCCCAAAACGTGTACGGGTAACGGGTGAGCGCCGCCATCTGGCAGTTCTGGACCGTCGATAATGGCGTTTGCTACGTGTAGCTTGGTGAGTACACGATCGGCTTAAACGTCTTCATTTTTTTTCTGTTTGGGGTTAAAATTATGATTTATTTTATTAAAATAACGATTATTTAAGCATTTATAGTCACTACTTCTCTTAACAGAAGTATGTCGTGAAAGCAAGAAAACCGCATTTGAACTTTCCTTTTTCTCGGAGTTAACACGACGCTAATTATAGTAAAAAAAAATAATTATTTAGTGTTATTAAACATCATATAAATACTTTTAAACAGTTTAATTTGTTTATTTACCTTTCCTGGCAAAATGCTTCCGCCATTTTTTTCAACTTATTTCCCGTGAGTCAATGCGCGATGTTCATTGAGTCACGTGATGTTATGAACAGGTGCCTCAACAATTTTTACTTGGATTTGAAACATGTAACGTGTATTTCTGCTACCCGTACACGTTTAATGTTTGAACTTGTGCCTCAACCTCTCTATTTTCCATTTTACATACAATTATGTATATTTTAAAAAGTTATATAAATTAATAATAAAGATTAATTTTTTTACACCATGCAAGACACCCTAGGTACAGAAGTGGAGTCACATGACTGGAAATGATGTGCGTATAGTTGATTGTGATACATAGTTAAAAGCGAGTCTTCGCTGAGCAAGGCGGAGTCACGCGCAGCCTGATTATAAAATACCAGCGAATCGTATATTATCTACAGATCAAAAATATATACATACTTCAGTTTAAAAATGGAACACATGTTTATTCATTACAATGGGCAAAGAAGATGCATGGGGTTCACAGATTTAGTTCACAGTACGGAGTGTACTATACAGTAGAGGGTACAATTTTTAAATTTGTAATCTATGTTGTATCAGTGTTTATTTTTATATAATTCAATATGTATCAATGCTTTACATTAAATTCCTTACAAATTAAATTTTATATCTCAAAATGTATCTAACCTATATTACTAATAGCAATCAAAACATATGGCCATGCAAGAATCACGCCTGATTTTTCTGTTTGACAGAATTTCACATGGTGATTCATTGTTGCCAACATTACACAACCATTAATAGGAGCTGACTTTTTATCCTATTATGGACTTCCAGACCTTTGCAACAAATGTCTCATTGACTCAACCACAACTGTTAAGCTGCAAACATATTCGCAGCGTCACGACGTTGTCTGTTCAGACTATTGCCAGCAACTCTACATACCACTGACTACTGAGCGAGTTTCGCGAAACAATACATTCATCTCCAACCATTGCACCCGTACATCACATCATCAGAACACCTGGATATCCAGTACCCTGGTGACTTGCACCAGACAAGTACATACTGGCTTAGTGCAAATTTGAGTTTATGCTATCTCAAGGAATCTGCCGACCGTACACTAGCAAATGGTCATCACCATTACACCTTGTTCCAAAGAAAGACAACCAGTGGCGGCAACTACCGTCTACTTAATGCACGGACCATTCCTGACCGTTATCCTGTTCATCACATAGAGAATATCGCATCTACTCTCCATGGTTGTCAATGTTTCTTATCTGTCCACTTCGTCCATGTGTTTCACCATATTCCTATAGCCCCGAAAGATATCCCTAATATGGCCATCATTATACCGTTTTGACTATGAGTTCAACTTCACATCTTTTGGTTTGTGCAATGCCGTGCAAACATTTCAACACTTCATGGACGAATTTACCAGAGACCTCAATTTTTGTTGCATATTTATCAGTGACATACTCAGTGTCCCAAGACAAATAGAGAATATCGCATCTACTTACCAAACATCTACAACACTTACGCAAATTGTTTACCAGACTTTGCAACTATGGAGTCATAATCAATACATCAAAGTGTGTATTTTGCAAACACAAAGTGCAATTCCTTGAGTATCTATCCAACCCAAAAGGAATTTGTCCACTATTCAGATAGAGGAGACTCATTCTGTCATCAGTCACGAATTAAAAGACAAGAAATCTATCTGTTCAAGAAATGGACTGTGTTTTAGCGTGTTATTACAAGCTTAAAGCACAGGTTGCAAAGCTATGGAAAGTGTTGTCAAAGTCAGGGAACATGAAATTATAAAGTTACAGGCCAGTATGGAGGAGACTTGCATACATTGAACAGAACTTGGATCTTGTCTAAAGCAACTTTAGAATAAACTTGATCAATTAACGAAGATCCAAGAAGAAGAAGTTTATCGGGTGATGTTGAGCCAGGTCAATCATGAGAAGTCAAAGCGTAGATAAGATAACCTCAGCAGTAGGAGAAGAGGTGCCTCATTACCATCAAAACAGAGATGTTTGCCAGGAAGAAATTGTTGATAAAAGTTCACAGAAGAAAATGTTATTCTTGGCCACTCATAACTCATTTTCTCCGATCAGCTGACTTATTTCTGGTTTTAGGTCACTGAGTGGGGTTGTGATTGTGAACAAGATTGTTGGCTTTCTGCCCCAAATTATCTTGGGTCTGTGTGACTTCTACTAACTACAGAAAACAACTGGTCATTTGGCTACTGCGGCGTGGAGTCCATCTCTTTTATTCTAGCGGTCATTAGTTGGAAACCAATCACACTAGCCCTCTAAGCTTCAGCTTTTGACTTTTCACTTTCGAACTCATGTTTTTTATTATTATTTTTGGAGTCTTGCAACAAGCTGTGGTTGTTCGTTACAGGACAGGTATACAATTCCGCGAACGGAAAGTTACAAACATAAGAAAAATACAAAATTCAATTATCACACAGAATCTTTACTTTAGGAATCCGAACTTAACAAACTTTATGCCTCTTTTATACATAAAAAAAAGGAACAGGCTTGTCCTCCACTGTCGGCAGGGTTCGTACACGTGACAACAAAAAAATTTACTTATATAGCTAACTTATATCTAACTTATAACTAATGAAAAAATAAGAACATAGGACAGATGAATATGGAAACAAAGGGTAGGGAGAATAGAAATACCCAGGACGGTCTTTTCCCATGGCCCCACTCCCTCTCTTGTTATTTTCTTAGAAAAAGTAATCCTACCCCAGGGGCAAAAGGGGTAGGTCAGAAGGTCTTAGAAGAGATAAAGAAACAGGAAGGAAGTATAGGATTAATTCGAAGAAAAAAAGATATATACAATCTTTTTTTTTTTTTTTTTAACAACAACAATATATACAATATCATGGCCGACAGCCACAAAGCGTTGTTTCTGGGCACCCAAGGATCTCTAAGGTGCTTTTCTAGTCACGGGGATGGCAAGAACATTGCAGTTGAGGAAGGGTACTTGACTCCTGAACCATTTGAGCATGCTGCAGACGAGAAGCAACCACTGGGTGGGTTTGTGACTGTGAACTTAAGACCACCAGTGGTTAAGCAGTCTTTGTACCCTGAAAATTGGGAGTTTGGTCGTGGGTTAATGCCTTACTTGGACAGGCAGGCAACATGGAGTTTTCCAGGTTTACTCCACGTCTGTAATGCCTAAATAGTGGCCAGTTTCCCTTAATGAGACCTCCTGGAAGACATCCCCCCAGGCAGATCATCCAAGTGTTGCGTTGCCATAACTAAACAAACAAGTGACTGTAAACTCTGTTTAGTGGAGTCAATGGTCCAGAAGATGAACATGGAAAGTATAATTGTTCAGATGGGAAGTCTGGAAGAGACTATTTTGAAGGAAACAAAACAGAGAATGGGTTAAATTCTTGATCTCTGTCCTGAACTCACCATCTCTTCCATAAAAAATTTAAAAAAAAGAAGGAAGAAGAGAAATTCGAGAAAACATTACAAAGCTATTTAGAGCACTTGACCAGATGATCGGAATCATCAAAGAGCTCAGAAATAGCAAAAAAACACAACAGGACAAAACAGAGATGACCACGACATACACCAAGATTTTAAAGCAAAGAGCAAAACCAAGTAATAATAGTAAAATAATAAACAGCGAGGAAATGGGATGCAATCACGCACTCCTTCTGTATACAACACAAAAAGAAGACAGAACACAGTCTAACATGATAAAAATAAACAAATAAAATGCAAGCTATCAACAGGGAGAAGACAATAACTAATAGTGTTAAACATCCAAACACTGTTGAAGATGAAGAAATAGTGGAAATGCTGTATGAACAAAACGACAGCTGCTACTCGATCCCAAAAGAAGAATTCCTAGCAAACACTAAAACCAATACTACATTTAACAAAGGACTAATCAAACCAAATTGCAGACATGTAGTGATTTCTGTTTTACCAAAAATAAGAGGCACCCTGATAGCACAAAAAATGTCTCAATATCCTTGGCAAATATCAGGATTGACGACTTAATTCCGATAATACGTTGCTACAGGTGTTGTGGCTATAATCATCTTGTCAAAGATTGTGAAGATGGACAAAAATGCTCGCACTGCTCAAAAGAGCATAAATACAAAGATTGTGAGAAAATGGATAAACTCCCAACATGTGCGAACTGTAGAAAAGCTAATAAAAAAACTTCCCAAAGGTAAAAGATGTTCAACCGAGCATAATGTGCTAAGTGGAGAATGTCCAGTGACAGAAAGTAAAAACACAAGTAATCAATAGAATCAATTATGGACTGTAATCTGATAAACGAGCACACTCAGTATTACCTTCTAAACACAACACATGGGAAATCAAGAAAAATAATCACAGTGGACACCTACAAGCAAAATGAACAAAGACTAGGAACCAATGATCTAAATCTCACAATCATAAAAATTTTACAGATAAATGCACAGAAAAGTAAATCTGCTTGTTCTCTAATAATACAAACTGCAAATGAGCTGGACATAGATATAATAGCCATACAAGAACCATATACTATATATAATTAATAACAACAAAGTGCGATTTGGAAATTGGCGAATTGTACAGAACCAAAAGTGGTATAATAATTAGAAATGAGAACATCGAACGTGCAATGATTCCGTAATTATCTAACAAAATTTACTGCTGCAGTCATATATCAAAAACTATAGATTTACATAAATGCTTATCTCTTTCCAGAGGAGGACAATGAAACCTGTGTCAGTGAACTAGAAGAGATTGTAAGGAAAATTGATAACAATATAATAATAATAATAGGGGGTATAAACACTAACTCGCATATTTGGTTCCACCCCCAAGAGGACAAAAGAGGAAGAATGATCTCTGATATCATGGACAAACACAAGTTGATTTCTGTCAATATGATCATTTTTACACTGCCTATGCTGAAAGCCGAAACAATAGTTTTCACCACGGAGGAAGTGGAGCATAAAATACAAAATTGCAAAACTCTCCTGCTGCCCTCGGGAAGTGCCTATCGCTATCTCATAACTGAAATAAACAACTTTCATATTGGCACAAAGACCACTGGGAAAAAACCACAAACAACAACAAACTGGGATTTTTTTAAAGAAATATTTGCCAGCAAATGAAGATAATTTCAATTCCAACAGATAAACAAGTATAGACTGACAATTATGTGACACATATCACCGAAGTGCAACAAACAGCTGCCATACAATCAACCAGAATAAAAATTATCAGCACCACCAAGAAAGTGCCCTGGTAGACCAACAACTTAGAGAGACAAAAAAAACAAATCTGAAGACTAAGGAGAAAAATGGTAAGAAACAGTAACAAAGACAGGCAGCAACAACTAAAGAATGAATATAGACAGGCATTAAAAGAGATTTAAAAGAATAATAAACAAGACACAATCTAAGAGTTGGCAGGAGTTTTGTGGAAAGATTATACAAAAGACCCCTGGAATGTTCCCTTCCAAGTTGCATTTCAAGGAAGGAAGAAAGTACATGTACTGCACAAAACCAATGAGAGTTTTGATTAAAACAGCTTTGATATCACTCAGAATAAAAAGACAATATTAGACTATCACTTCCCCAGCAACAATCTGAATACTGACACAGACATTCACAGGGAAATCAGAGTCGATCACAGTAGCTCTCAAACCCATACAAATAATGACATTCTCTTCTCTTTTAGGATTGGATGGAATTTCAACAGAAATGGTGAAGTCTGCATACACAAGTCCCAATTGCCTTTGTCTCTCTTTATAATGAATGTCTCAAAATAGACTACTTCCCTGACAATTGGAAGATAGCAAACATTCCTGAGCAATTCACACCCATCAGTTTACCACCAGTACTTAGAAAATTTTTGGATGAGATAATAATAGAATATACCACCACCTCTAGAAAAATGACAAACTTAACGAACAGCAGTTTGGCTTTAGACAAGGGCAGTCAACAATCCAAGCCACTCTCTGGGTAAAAGACTTTATAACAAATGCATGGGAGAAGGGAGAACATGCCATGATAATTTCTGTTCATTTTAAAAAAGAATTTGACTACCTGTGGTGGCCGAACTTATTTAAAAGACTTAATGAGACAGAATACCCTGCAAAAATGCAAGAAATACTTAGGAATTATTTACATAACAGAAAAGCAGGCTACTTCTCTAATAACATCAACATTATAAAGCAGGTTGTCAGGGAATGCCCTCAGGTCTTGAGAAGTGGACCAGGCATTTGACAGCTGTTCACTGTTAGAAAAATACAACCAAACAGCAAGAGCAAAGATACTGGCATTTGCAGATGATGTCATTCTAATGATAGCAAACAAGAATTGAAATAGGCTAGCAGAGGAAGGAAACAAAGCCTGGAGAAGATAAACAAGTGGAGTCAAACACATAAATTGGAAATAAATTATAAAAAATGTGAGATCCTAGTGTGTTCAAAAAAATTTGGAAGAGGACAACTTAAAAAAACAAATTGACATAAATGTCAACAGAAACAAAATAAAAAATGTGAACAAAATGAGATACCTGAGCATCTTTTTTGGTGGGGAACTCAGCTGGAAAGGACAAAATTCACCAAAAATGCTTGAGAAAAGCAACACACACATGCAAATTTCTAGAAATGTCTGGGGCTTCAACCATTAGTCATCAAGATTGGTGATTGAACCTGTGCTTTTATACAGTGTACAGGTGTAAGGCGAATCAGCAAACAAAATTGAAACAAAAAGAAAACTACAATGAATTCAAAGGAAATACATGATAAACATTTGTAAGGCTTACAGAACGACCCCAACTGATGCATTGTTGGTTCTAGTAAATATCTTTCCAATAGACCTCAGGGTCAAATAACTCATATGAGAATGATCCCTAATAAAGGAAGATGTTAACAGCTTAAACAACAAAGAAACAGAAGGCAAAATCAAGAAGGGAAATTATCGGAATTGGTGAACTCATTCAAGAAATAAAGGTAAACCAACTGGAAAAAGTAACAAAAAACCTGGGTCATGTTCAGTAACGCAGAACAAGTTAGAATTCTGAGTGGCTTAGTGGGCGGAGCTAAGAATGTTCTGAGCATCATTGAACGACTATTCTTTGTTAGACAACTAGGTAAAATGGTGGATGAAGTGAAAATTATTATTGTAACAATTGTCGCAAACAAACTAGCCAAAAATGATGAAATAACAAATATAATTATTCAAATGGAAGCTATGTCAGATCATGACAAAATGAAGTAATCATTAAATTTAATCAAGGAAATGGACTGTTATCATCCGTTAAAATGTATTTGGAATCTATTATACCAACATTTGATGATTTTACATTCCAAAGTCATTTTAGAATGAGTAGACATTCAATCCTAGTAAGTTTCAGTTTTTAATTACTACCGTAGCTATATTCTAAATGTCATCTAAGGCTGCCTCATCTAATTTTAAAAAATTATCCATAGAAACTTCTAGCATTTGTTCAGGATGATGATCAAACTTCTGAAACAGATGGTATAGGGAATAACTTAACTACAATTCCAGTTATTAAAAAAATTCTTATAACTATATGATATCTTGCTAATCAAGGAAGTTATAGGTAAATAATTGATTTAGTTTCTAAAGTGTTTTGATTTTAATATAAAGAATTAATGTTGTTATATTTTCAGACAGAGTATGGAAAAGTACTGCTCAATACATAATTTCTGCTATTTCTACTAGTGATTCGTCGACACTTATTTGTTGATGAGGAGTATAATGATGTCGGAACACCCTATTTGCGTGATCCTCCAAAGGTTGATATCATGCAGAGGCATTATAACCTAATTCCCTTGAGCCAGGTGACTTACTATTATCCATGAGATGGAAGAATTGAAGCAACTGCAATAGCAGTACCTACTACAAATTTCCGCATACCACGTATGTATGTAGGGAGGAAGAGTGGACCAGTAATCTGATATTTTTGGTCTTCTGTCAATTCCCATTGCAAAAACAATAGCCAAAAACCCCTTTATATCTTTAATAGTGACTGGTTTCCACATCAGATATTTGGGAACATTCTCCCCCATGCCAATTATAACTTGCTTGGCATACCTATTAGTTTCCGTCACCATAAGGGAAAGTAAAGTAAAAGTGAAAAAAATGTTAAAATATTCTACAGGATGAGAATCAGGAGGAGGCTGGGGAAAGAAGCGGGTAGAGATGGTTCTGGTGGCAGAACCTCAAGGTACACCTCATCTTCCAACTCGTCATCAGAAAGCTGAATGGAGGATGGTCCAACATATGAGGTGGTAGGCCCGGTGAACGACGTGGATGGCCCGGCGGATGACATGGATAGCCCAGCAGATGGTGAAGAAGGTCCCGCAGCTTCTTCAAAGTGATGTTGAAGTTCTGGAATACAGGCATCTTCTTCGTCGTAATCTGAATAAAAATCCCTGTATTCCGGAACTTCAACATCACTTTGACTGTCATCACTGTCAGACTCAATGTCTCTGAGACTGACAACTCGTTGTCAAAGTATGCTGACACTTCTGTTTCTTTAATTTTTTTTGTTGCAGACATACTGTATTCGGAAATTAATTTGAAATAAAAGATACATGTTACAATTGAGAATAACAGTAAAAAAGAAAAAATTAAGAAAATTAAAATAATAATAACACTGTACTGATAAAAAAAATAACACTAAAATATTAAATATAAACAAGTCTATATTATTTCTATAATATCATAGAAAATTAAATTGCATATTTTATCAAAACAATTTAACTATTAAATTGTTAATATAAATTGTTTCAATATTGTTTACTATTTATATTTGTAATATTTATAAATAGAAATTTATAATACACATCTACAAAATATGATAAAATTTAATACATTTATTGTAATATATGGATTGTTTATTTTGAAAGTGGTGTAAGTTCATTTATTGTCGTTTTGAGAACATGAAAGGTTAGCATATTAGTCAATTCAAAAATATAAATTAATTATGACAAGTCTGGTAATGTTTCTACTAAGTTATCAATATGTAATTTGATTATATAAATTTCTTTTAGGCTAATTTAACTAAAATAATATATATTTATGGGCTGTAAATGGACTTGCACCATTTTCATAATTAGTCAATTTTAAAAATCATTTAATTTCAATTATGAAAAATTAAATATCATTTAAAATATATTTTGTATTAATCCAATTTTGTTTATAAATAAATAATAAGAAATAACATAGGAGTAGTATTTTTTAATTTGAACATTAATTATATTTATATATTGTTAAACTTAACATAAGATACTGCTAGTATTTATTCTCTGTGTCAGTGTTTTGAAATATTCATGATGCACAGGAGGTATATCAGGTAATAATTGCTCCGTATCCTTATATTTTTTGTATGTAATAGGTCTGGCATCATTATACAAAGTTGCCAGGGCAATTGTTTCAAATTTTGGTAGTCTTCCCTGACATGTAAGTCAAAATGATCCACGAAAACCTTTAACATGCACCTTAATTTTGCTAGGAACTAGTAGGTGACATGTAGGTGATAAACGTAACGTCTTAAATTCCGTGTCCTCTATTGATGTTTTATATAAAATAGTATACGGTGCACTTTTGCAAAACCTCATCCAACATATGGGCTGCTTATTTTGAAAGTGGTATAAGTTTGTTTATTCTTTCAAAATATTCAAAGGTTGCATTTTAGTCGATTTAAAAATACAAATAGTCTACTAAATTTGGCAATGTTTCTATGATTTTAGAAATATATAAGTTGATTACATAAAAACTTTTATGTGAATTTCACTAAATATATTTGTTTGGTCGTAAATGGACTTACAGGACTGATAATCAATGGTTAAACAATGTCATTTACTGACATTTTTAATTGATCAAAGCATATGGTGGTTATAAAATACTAAGTGTGAATTGTTTATAAATAAAAAGTTTACACTAAATTATATGTAAATTATGCAATTTCTCAATTTTATTCAAAAATGGACCTAAACCACAAAATAAATGGTCCATATTTTATCTTGTCTTCATTTTTAGTGAAAATAAGTCAAAAGTAGAATTATATCGTAGTTACATTACAAATATAAATATTTTAAACATAAATGTTAAAAGTATTTTTATACATCCGTTTTAAGTGATAAAATATCGAATAAAAGTCCTTTTTATATCTTGATAAGTCTATTTAGATAGTTTTCTATGTTAATCACAAGCATTGACTACTTATTTAACATTACTTTAATATCGAATTTCTATCATTAATTGAATTTAAATATGTTTAATTAAACTATTTTTATAAATGTTTTTTGAAATTATATAATATACTTACCGGATAATATAGTAAATAATTAGATTCCAATAAATTATGTTTTAATCTATTAGATCCGAGATCAAGTTTTCACGAAATCTATAAAAATGAAAACAAAATTTCATGGATGATTGGAAAGATATGCAAATCTCACCAGATTTAAGAAAATGAACAAAATTTAGACGTAAACGATTACTACCAATTTTTTTTATGAAATTAGAAGGCAAAAGTATCAAAGTTACACTATGATACTTTAATAATAGGCAGTGACTGACATAGTGTTGATTTAGAAAAGTTTTCACGTTGAGACTTCTCCCTTTGTCAAAGGCGACTGCAAGGTGATATCCAATGAAACAAAGTCCAACAAGGAAAATCTACCATAAATAATCACACTTGTGGCTATGAACTGGAACTGTCAGCCTTAAAACTAAATCACAACTTCATCACAAAAATGTTATCAAAAAATCACAAACGATTTCGGTTATAAATTGGAACAAAGTCTATAAAAAAACAAATTATCATCATTGAATTTATTTTAATTAAAATATCCGCGTATAATAAGAATAACTGAAACATGGATCACATGCGAATCGTTTTATAAAGCATCCTTTTTTAACGACTATATAATTGAAACAATTCTATCATGAAAACCACTTATGTATTCTAATAGAAAAACATTAAAATACTACAAACCAAAAAATCCGATAATTACATTCTTCTTTTACTTACAACTAGCAAACCTATATTAGGAAACATACTGTCAATTGATTATAGTAATGGTCGCCAATGTTATTTTTCAATTTCAATTCAATTCAATTCTTTTATTAAACACCCTGTAGGTGCATTCTCAGTACCGTTTAATACATAGCTGAGAGATATATGCACATTATTTATCAAAATACATTTCGCAGATGAAGAAACCGCTTAACATATTGTAAGTAAACAAAAGACGGCGGAGTAGTACATTATTAGTATAAAGTTACATATCGATATCACAGTACTGAATTAAGATAGAAATACAAGTTTTTGGTGTAACATAGTAGATATATACTTACAATCTGTCATGCAGATTGTTTAACAATATTAATAGAAAGAAATACATAAAGAAAGAAAAAAAAACATAAAGATAAAATAAAGTTAAATTAAGATTAACTNACCAGAGTTCTATAGAGGTCACGGATAGAATCCGATAACAAAATCCGGTAAATCAAAAATTCAAAATCCGGATAACCGAAAATTACGGTTTTAAGCAAATAATTTAAAAAGGGGTGGGATTTAAAAGTCCTACTTGACGTTATGTCAATCCTCTTGCCTTCCGATATACGTAAACACTAAATATAATATCCTCCGACCTGAATTACCGCAAAAATCACAAAATAATCACAGAGCACATTTGTAGCATCCAATCCTCGAACATTTCTTTTATCAAAACCTTCCCAATGTTATTTTTGTGCGACTTTAAAAACTTCAAATCTGCTTATTCGTATGAAATTCTACAATTAACCAACCCTCTTATGCTCTCTTAAATCTCTTATGCTAGCCCAATCTGGAGTCTCAACTATTTAAAGAATTGTTCAAACTCAAACTTAAAAAAATATACTTATATCGGTTTAGAGTAGACAAAATGTAATTTATATATGATCAAAATTCATTTTTTAAATTTTCAACTCAATTCAAAGCATTTTTGTTGTTTTATACAGTTTCCTGCAAGCTTTAATAAATTTTTTCTATTTGTGAAAATGTCTACGTAATTCAAAGGTAATTTTTAATATATATCTTACACAACATTATTAATATGATTTTGAAGATTGCAGACGACGTATTAAATTACTTGAAATCGAATATAATTATTTTTCTCTTTTGATTCCGATGAAACCGTGTTTTAATTTAATTTGCTTTATTCAGACAATAGCGTGACTTCTTTTAAACACTTTGCAGATTATCCACCACTTTATTTAGTTGGTACGCCAGTTACAAGTCGCGTTTCGGGCATTAGCTCCTTCTCAGCCAACTAAACGTAAAATTTTCTCGTTTGATTTCAATATGTACATACACGAATTAAAATTCCGTAAATATATGTAAAATTTTCTCATGTTTGATTATTTAGTTGGCTGAGGAGGGGCTAATGCCCGAAACGTGACTTGTAACTAGCGTCCCAACTAAATAAAGTGATGGATAATCTGCCAAGTGTTTAAAAGAAGTCACGTTATTGTGTATGAATAAAGCAAAATAATTATTTTTCGTTTTTTAAAGATATTTTTTATACTTTGAAAATAATTCTATTGCCGGGATCTCACGGCTTTTTCCGGTAATCCCGTGACAAACGAAAGACCGGGAAATGAGAAACTCTTAGAATGTATTAATTGTGTGGAAAGTGTTTACGTCAATATTGCGTTTATAAAAAATTATTGTACTGCAATTTGAAAAAATTGGACCTATGAATTTCGATTGTTGACTGTCTGGTCTTCCTCAATCTGCAAAAAGAAGTCGGACACATAAAAGTCGAGAACAAATTTGAAAAGTTTGGGGCAGGAGGCTTGGATTAAATATATAGGAACTTCCGGTTTGAAACGAAAATCACGTTATTTTGATTCAAAAATTTTTCCTGGACGAAGTTAGATAACTGTCACGATTGTATTGCTGACAGAAAAAAGTATGATATACAGGAGCAAGACCACCAGTAAAAGAATTGAGAATGTTGTGACTAAAGATTGCAGCCTGCCATTGTGACGATGTCACGATAAATAGTCTCTCGTTAGAATTAATTTGGTTATAGCAACGCGACACGTGAGCGATCTGCCCGGGAGATTCATCTCAGGAAGACATGGCAAGCTGGACCCGACTTAAGTGGAGAAAACCCGCGTGGTCAGCCCGTTTTCTAAGCCCGAACCCACGAGTAACTAAGTACCAAAGTACGATAGTTTTATGCACCGGACTATAGACTTAAGTTATAAGCCTAATGGATCGACGGAACATAACACTAAAGTCATTGTGCATGCGTGTGGAAATCGGACAGACAAAAGTCCTAATATAAATACGTTACCGCTACTGTGAAGCGTGCAAGAAACCCAAGTCGTTAGATGTGGAAAATTAAATAGTTAGCCTGTGAAAAATCTATAACACTTTCTGTTGCAAGCAGGCAAGTGCTATATGCTACGTGTCGCCGTAATTATATAGCGCTTCTATTTTGTGCTTTATCATTGTCGCAGTGATTAAGTGAATTATATATGTATGTACTGTATATATTGTTTAAATTAATCCTTTTTTATAAAAATGATATTAGTTTATTATTTTGTTAAATTTTTTACCAATAA